AAAAAAAAAAAAAAAGTAACTTTAAGAAAAACACAGAATGTTAGAATACGGAGGAACTTTGAAAACATTATGCCAAGTGAAAGAAGCCAGTCATAAAGGACCATGTAACATATGATTCCACTTACATGAAATGTCCAGAATAGGCAAATCAGAGAGACAGAAAACAGGTTGGTGGTTGCCTAGGGCTGGGGAGGTTGCAGGGAGACACAGGCAGTGACTACTAATGGGTATGGCGTTTCTTTAGGGGGTAATAAAAATGTTCTAAAAGTGATTGTGGTGATGACACTACAGCTCTGAAAATATACTAAGAACAGCTGAATTGTACGTTTCAAAGGGGTGAATTGTAAGGTATATGAATTACATCTCAGTAAAGCGGTTATAAAAAATAAAAGAACAACACAGGAGCACAGTGTCCCCTGCCTGCCCCCCTGCCCCGTGACCTGCCAGCACTCACTTGGAAGCCTTCATGGAGTCATCTGCCCAGCCTCCTTGCCGGCGCGGTGGCTTGGGAGGGGGAGCCTGCAAGGGAAGAGAAGTCAACAAAACAGTCACTCAAGACCAGCGTTCAAGCAAACAGGCACTGAGGTTAAGGTAGCCTAAACCAACCTTCTGAAACCTTCGAATGCAAATACAATACTATGAAACCTGCGTGCTTTCATACCCTTCTGGAGGACAATCTGGCAACGTCTACTGAAAGCCTTAGAAATGCTCACACTTTTTGAGTCAGCAATTCTAACCCCAGGAATTTATCCCAAGGAAATAATCAGAGAGAAACATAATGTCATTTTTGAATATAATGAATAACTGGACGTCAACAAGGAATTTAAGTAAATCACGGAATACACATGTGAAAATACTATGCAATATTAAAAAGGAATTAATGATATGAGAAAGTTCAACATGTGTTAACTTTTTAAAACATGTTCAAAATAGTAGGTATATGCTTCTAATTTTGTGAAAAGATCACTAATACAGAACATCTAGTGTTAATTAGCTATCAGTACATGAATGAGAGGGGATCCAGTGAAAGAATTATGGCAATTTCTTTTTCCTTCTTTATGCTGTTGTGCATTTTCCAATTCTTTTTTACCGTCAATTTATATCACTTTTATAAAAAAAAAAAAGTAATAAAATAAAAATATAAGAGAGAGGCTTGCTTCAAAGACACAAACTCAAGTGGTGGGTTAAAAAGCTACTCAAGTTATTTGGGCAGGAAGCATTCACCGGCAATAGATACATCCACAAACCCAAGTGCAGGAATTCTTGTAACTATTTTTGATTTTGTGGGCCGCACAGTCTCTGTTGCAGCTACTCAACTCTGAAGTTGCAGGGCAATCAAACCACAGACAAGAAGTAAACACCTGGGTGTAATGTGTTCCAATAAAACTTTACAGAAACAAGCAGCGGGCCAAATTTGGTGGGAAGTATTCTGCAGACTCCTGGGCTAAAATCACTGTAATGTCCTTTCAATCTGTTGCTTAAAACCTAGCTTGCAGCTTTTTAAGAAAACATTCCCTCAATATGGTGAAATACCTTTTAACTTTTGATATTTTTATTTTACACCAAGATGTGTTTCCTTTCCTGCTTCTCTGGTAGCACGCCAGCCTGCCAAGGACATGTTCCATCTAGAGACGGAGCCTTTCTGCGGGATGAGGCAGAACCTGTTGGAAAGGCCTGATATCAGGAGGAGAAGGCAAGTCCTGCAAAGCCTGCATCCAACTTAGCTCCTGGGAAACCTAAGTAGTACTTTAGAGAAAACAAACTTGAGTAATGAGGCTCTGTACTCTCAGAAACAGCAAAAATGTAGAAGTAGAAAACGCACTATTGCTTTTGTCTCTCTCAGGGGGGAACCCAAAGAAGATGAACGAAGAGATCCCCACCATTAATCCCCAGTCCACGCATCCTTTTTTGGTATCCCTGCCACACACAATCACTGGTCCCCAGGCTGGATGGAGAAGGCTTCCATCCCAGGACCCCTCTTCCCTTAGACACAGGTGACTGAACCAGGGCTGCACCAGTCAGAGCCAGTCACAACCAATCAAGTTCTCTTTCCCAGGAATCTGGAACTGAAGCTCAGAGGTTAGGCTGCTCAGACAGCACTGAGTGTTGGAACTAAAAGGACCAGTTGGAATCAGAATAAGCCCAAACTACCACAAGCCAAAGTTGTGTATAAGCAGAGACCAAGAACGTTGTCTTGTTCAACTCTTACCATGTGGAAGGCATTGCAAATGTTAAAGAGATTGGAACTGAACCATATCGGGCCCCTACAGGAGGTTTTAAACCAATCTGGCCCACAGCTTTCTTCCCTATGCTTTTGCAGATAACATCCCACTTTCCTTTACCCAAGGGTAGGACCATCTTGTGACAATGTGCATTCCTGAATTTGGAGATCACAAACTAGGAACTGCATATTTGGTTTGGCCATACAGTGGTTTTTATCTGTTTTTAAATTTAAACTACCATTTTAAAAATTGTAAGATTTCCACACAAAACAGGACTCTCCGGCTTCTCTCGGAAAACTGGAAACTCTAGCAATGCCGGGGCTGAGAAGCAGCCGCCCTCTGGTGACTGGACACGTGCATTCTAGCTCACCACGGTCCCCACCCGCTCTGTCTGTCTCCTTCCTGCTG